CTGTAGCAAGCAGCCTGCTTTTAATTTTATTGATACATTTTCTGTACATTGAATTTCCTTATAAATGCATAAAATCTGCAGTCTAATTATGAAGCTCTGTGAATAATCTACCTGAAAGTGTTAATTTAATTTACGAAATTGGTATTCAGAAGTAAAAGAGCAGAGCATCAATCCGTTTTCTGCACGAAGTTCATAATTATGTAATACCATAAAAAGAAGGGAAACATGATTTTCCTTGACTCTTGGAAAGGTACGCTAAATAACAATGCAATTAAAACGTTATCGACACTTTGAAATTGTTTTAATATTAATACAATAACGCTATGAGTTCTCAGCGAAATTACTTTCGACATCACGAATATTGTACGTCAAACAGGAAACGTCCAGGTGAACTGTTATTTCATCAGCTTCATTCAGTTTTAATCTTACACTATTAAATAGAATGAACCATTATGAGTCTATCTTTATTAAAAAGTTCCGTGGCAGACTTGTTAGTCTAATTAGACTGCGGATTTTATGCATTTGTAGCAAAATTGAGTAAATGAAAAGCGTAAAAAATATATATAATATACTAAAATTCATAGAGTATTAACAGCATGATGTTGAAGAATTGAGGGACATAATTAGCAAATAATATTTCTTAAATTGCTACCTTGCAAGTTTTATTTTGTATAAAAATGAATCAATTGAAACTTTAAAAGTGTCATTTAAAAGTGTCATTATTCTGTATGGAAAACAACAGTTTCGTTGATGAATAATTGAAATCGGAACTGGAGTTTTTCTGCCTGGAAAAAAAGAGCTTGCAAGAAAGAAAAGGGATTTCGAATCGTGTATTGGTTGGCGATAGTTTGCCGGGTTGAAATTAGATCCTGTACTGCCACATATGCTTCGATATACATCCATTGTTTGTTTTTTCTTCTATTTACCGTTGATGAAGTTCTCTGTAAAAAATTGGATTCTTCCTCTACGAATACGCAGTACCAGGAAATCCGAGTTTCGTTCGCTCGGTTTTACAAATTCTGCTAATAAACGTGTCCGCCGGGAATGGGAAAGCAAGTGATCGCAAAAAATTAATAATAGTTTGAACAAAGCTCGTGGAGTAAGAAGCCGGTCGTTATCACATAAATGTACATTTTAGAAATTCTCTACAGATAAGGGCAAGAAATATGCAAAGGAGATACGAGACAAAGGTGGATTAAATTTAAATATACGATTAAAGACTGGCCGGGTTAACGTGTACGATTTAATTAAAAAGAGTAATTCGTGCAATTCATTTTAATCGGGTTTGCCTTATAATGTCATAAAACGTGAACAGTATTCGAATTTTTCGAATATAAACCTAGCGTCCGGCGAACATTATTTGAAACTTTTAATTGATACCTGTGATTTATTAAAAGCTATAGCCATTTTGTTTAAACACGAAACCGGCGTGGTATGAAATACCATAATAAATCAAATTTATCGGTCGCGTGTACCTTTCCCATGGACCTGCACGTACGCATAAAGTTTTCAATTTTCGAGGGGCGCGTGCAGCTCGCAATGTGATATTCAGTGCAAACTCATACGTGATCTACGATGATACGGTGTTCCGATATTCGCCCGCAGTCCTCTATTTTCCAGCTTGCTACTCTTTATTAGAGGAATGAAAAAAGGATGGCACCGAACGCTTCGCACAATTCCTTTTTTCTTTCTCCAAATTGTTTTTCAGGCTCCCAAAAACATTGAACCATTGTTACTACTGCGTAAACCAAATTCTATTCACAACAGGAATTGAAATATTTTTCATAATTTCAATTTGAAGTTATTTCTCTTTCTTTCTGTCTTTACTATATTTTATTTATTTATTTATTTATTTCATTATTGCAGTAAAGCGTTAGTCGGCTTCCTTGTATGGTTTCAAACGTTGTTATATTTTGTCTTGATAAAAGATGCATAATATCGAAGAGATTCATGAGGTAAGTAAACTTGTTTGAAATCTGGCCATTTCGACCTCTCACGGTTAAACATACATCATGCCCGACCTTAATTTGATTCCCGCTTTGGCTGAAATATCACACTCGAGAAGTGTACAAACGGTGTTCTACAACTTCGGCGAGAACTTCCATAAAATTTTCATGAGGAATTACGCATCGGTGAGCAACTGGACTGTTAGAACGTGTCATTCCCGACGCGTAATTTGGTTTCTGCCTCGTGCCGAGATATATCGTTCTTGGAACGGGCCACCCACGCCACGTATCAAGCACAACTTCCTCTGACCAAGAGAAAATTATTTCACTGGCACGAACGCTCTCGCTATTACTTCTCAGCCTCGAGACAACGAGATCTATATACCTTGTTTTCGACTAGATTTTATGTGAGGAATTATCCCTTTGCCGATTGTACTACGATTTTGCAGCACCCTATATATTACTTAAGTCTACTTGTATGTGCATCTGTTTATTAGCTTGTAAACGATAGACCATCGATAGGCAATTTATATTTAAAATGTTTGTTTAATATGACATGAATTTTGATTATGTATTGGAAAATTGTTTAAGGAAAGTCGTTTTCTGTTTCAGTGAAAGCACACAAATATTGCAACTGGAACGGTACCTGGTTTCGGCATCCGGAGTCTAATCGAGTCTGGACTAATTACACGACTTGTATTAACTTACAAGATCTCAGCGTAAGTGAATTTAATATATGATTTTTACTAAATTGAATTACTAAATTGAACAAGATATCAAATTGTACACTACTAGAAAAAATTATGGCATTATGGAAGTGTCGAGAATTGGCCAAGTTTGACCAACAAATTACGGTCCAGCTGTATGCAATATCCATTACAGGATTCTTATAATATTCCTCATAATCCAAAATTAAACCTGTTAGTAGAATTGTTTATCACGTACGTTAACGAAAAAATAGCGGTCTTTGTAAAAATGCATAATTTTCAGAAAAAATCTTCTTTACCAGAAATGTCGTAAAATCCAATACTGTGTAGTAAATTCCTACTAGATAAACGAATATTCACATAATTACAAACGTAATATGTGTAAAGTCAAATTTCAACAATTATATTATATATATAAAAATGGATGTTTGTGTATATATATATATATATATATGTATATAAATTCCACATTTTCGTGATGAAACGTACCGATCAATTGTTTCTGACAAATGAATTTCACTCTGATCAAGAATTATTAGCTGTTAATGGACCGATAAAGAGGTGCGATAGCGTGTCATAAATACTATCGCGAAATTGCATCGTTTCCTGAATAGCGGCAGGTGAATGCCAGCCGGGAAACGCATAGGATTATTCATCTGATAGTAATGTGATTTGAATGAGGGAGTAAGGCCGAGGATCAAGGGTGATGACAATGGAAAGGTTGAAAGGGAAACGTGCAAGCTTGACAACTGTAATATATGTAATAAACGCTGGAATGAAACACGCGTACAGAGGCTGTCATTGCAGTGCGAAAATGCATGGGTAATAAGTATGCGAAGAGAGAAACAACGAATTTATAAAATAGAGACAAGCTCACCCTTTTTTTTAATCTCCTTCGCATTCAATTTTTCGTCCCCGTGAAATGAGAATAAAGGAAATACGGATTTATGTGCCGTTGATAAAAATTAGTAGCCAACCTGACATTAAAATAATGAGCACGCGCTTTATTTAATTAGCCGGGAAATTAGTATCCTTTGTTATCTTAAATAAGTAACTAGACAGAGAAAGAACGTTCTCTTAGAGCTATTTAAGAATAGAGGAGACAAGAATATTATCATCCTATATTTACGTTTTTTCTTGAATTTTTATTAAGCTGTGTTACATTTTCATTCTCATGCACGTCACGTTTTTTCTTGTTACCATTAGTTATAGTACTATCTGTCTATTGAATCTAATAAATAATCATTAATAAAACCGCAATGCTTTAAAACCATATATGTATGTATGCTTAATAGTCTTATGCCCGGAAACCGAGAGAGACAGAAAGACAGTATGTCCTTTTTAAGCGTTAAATTCAAGTCTTGAAAAATTCAGTGGAACTTCACCGGAATGGTCGGACATCATTAGTATTCCTTATTACTTTAAGAGATTTAAAAAAAGAATGTTCGTTTAGGATAATTGGAAAGTATAAACTGTGAAAATTCTGACTGCAAAAATATTATCATACAGTATTTTTAATATTATAAGAGATTCAATTTAATTCTTAAGATTTTCAGTGGAAAATCGTTAATATGATCAGACATCATTATTATATCTCGTTACCTCAAAAGAAGTCAGTAGATAGCTTAGAAAAAGAATGTTCAATTAGAACAATTTGTAAAAATATTATCATCCGGTATTTTTAATATCACAAGAGATTAAATTTAATTCTTAAGACTTTCAGTGGAAAATCGCCTGTATGGTCAGACGTCCTAGTTCCTTTAAACGTCGTATCAGCTACCAATTTATTTTATTGAACATCCACTCCCATTCATTCTCTGACAATCCTCGTCGCTTCTCTTTCATCCGCGCTTAATACCTCCCACAGTTTTTTCACATTTTCCAATCACTATTGTCTTTATATTACTCGTAAAAGTTGACTTTTACATCCGACGCACGAATTTCCCTTCTCTATAAAAAAGCATCCAGCTTTTTATCGCTCAACAAAACACTCGTTACGTAAAAGAAAAACGATACCCAATCCGATCGATGGATCGGCGTTCTTATTTTTTTCCTTCCAACCCGTTGGCGGCTGATGCCCGGGGGTAATAATTGCGGCACCAAAAGGAAGGGAGGACACCATTTATTTTTCTCTCTCTCTCTTTTTTTATTCGCCCGAGGTATATCGCTTTAGAAAATTTTAATATCCGATTCAAACTGTGGAATTTACGAGCGGCGTGCGCAACGCTGGCATCGGACGCTGAAAATTATAACCGCGATGAAAATAAAACGAGCAACGGCGGGGGTGCAGGTGGATGAATATTGTTTTTAACGAGAACTTCTCGAATACCCCATTGTTCCTTCCTCGCGTTTTTATCAGTACATTTGTGGGATTATTGCTTTCCGCGAAACAGACAACGGGTATTTTTCACTTCCATTTTTTCAGGATCGAATCTGGCCAAACCCCGTTCCTCTCCCCGCCTCCCCCTCCGAACTTTCCATGTTTATGAATAACCGTTCACGCGTCCCGGCGATTTTGCATTTTATTTTGAACCCTTTGATATCTTTCGGATCCGCTTTCCATCGATAAATTTACATGAACATTTTTTAAGACTGTACAAGCGTTTCTACTAAAATATATATCATGCTTTCAAAAAAATTTTTTCACTATTTCTGTATCCGTGCATGGGGAAAATTTTTCATTATTTTTTTATATTCGTGGGACGGGGAAATGTCTTGCGTAGTTTTTCATATGCGGAGAGAAAATATGATATTTTTCATCGTGGAATTTGCAAGAGATAGTGCGATTAAAGTTTATTCATGAAATTGGGGAAAGTTCCCAGGTGAAAAAGTGTATGACATATTCTGCATCGATACATATGTATATAACTGAGTATGTATCCTAGTCTGTGTGCAAAGGAGAGAGAAATAAAGAAGAGGACAGGAAGGAAAGTGGGCAACGGTAAGAGAAACTACACTGGAAAACGCGAGGGAAGGATGGCTGGATGATGACGAACAAGGGGATGAAATAAAAAAAATATTGAAATATATAAGAAATATAAGAGGTATACAGAGAGGGCAGGAGAAAGACGAAAGATAAATCTAGGTACAACGGAGTGTACAAAATATTTAAAAAAAAGGACAAAGTCCGAAATTTTTAGCGAGAAGAATGAAAAGTAAAAACGAGAAACTATTATTATTTTCATTATGATTATAGTGATAAAAAAAGAAAGAGATGTGTGTAACATAGAATATAGGTTATTATATTATAGAATATGAAAATGTGAAGCCGGAAGGTATGAACCAAGAACAAATAATAATAATAATCCTATTCTGTATGAATATAAAAATATGTATATGAAAAAACATAAAAAATATATAGCGTTCATTTTATCTACTGCACATATTTTCGAGATGTTCATATTTAAAGTGAGCTTGAAATTCCGAAGATATAAGAGAAGGGGAAAAGGTTTCAGAGCAACGATATGTAAAGTAGAATCAGCGGTTTATTTAATACCCTCGAGCGAGCAAACTCGCATAAAACAATCGAGGTAAGCCAGTTGTACAAAGGAACCGTTCTGTGTCGAAAGCAACGATGGCCAAAGAAAATTGTGGCAACTCGTAGCGGGAAGAATAAATAAGATAGACGAAGTGAAGCTCGTTCTTAGCAAAAGTGAAGGTCCTTCTGTTTCATGCTGAAAACGCCTCCGTAATTTCTTCCAAGTCGAATAAAAGGTAGTGAGAAGACGAAGCAACAAAACGTTTGCTCAATTAACGTACGGCTGCCACTGCTTTAAATATTCGTCTCGCCTCTCAGGCGCTCTGGTAGGATTTTGCATTTTCATTCAGTCAACTCCCCTGAGATTCTTGCTATTGGATCTTCTGCTGGTAGTCTCTGCTATTAACTTTGAAGAAAATGAGGTCCTCGCGCGGTCCTTTGAGAAATTTCGCATTCGCTGGATGGATGCGTATAGTAATTATTCAAGAGCGAATTTAACGCATAAAATTTTATTATAGACACCTACATTGACCGAACGGTAGGAAATTGATTAAAAATTGCAAGTATTGCGAAAATGAAGCGGAGGATCTGATTTACAGCTAATGGAGAACGAAAAACGATTGTTCTAACAAATATTAGGGTCCGATCGTTGTTTGTTTCGAATGTACGAGGGATGACAGTTACTCCGTTCGGGCAATCGGATTAATGAGAGCCGGAAGTTACGTAGTACTCCCATAGACTTTAGTCGGATGAACTTCGTCAACTTCCGCGGCGTCTAATTGTTGTTTACAGGCCCTTTGCCGCTCGGAAATTCAATTGATCCTCGTCGTTAAGTGCGACGAGCTACTCATACGCTTGTTTCTCACGTTTACCAGCGTTCCCTGCCGATGAATTAACTTGCTTTAATAGAACCTAAAGACTGTGCAACTTTAATCTAATTGATATACAATTTATAGCTTTTCGATAAAACTAAATACATCAGAAAATTCAGCAATATTTTAAACTGTGCAAATGCTCGAATTAGCGTTCAATATAGAACACGTAATGATTCAGTTAGAATGAAAAATATAACAAAAATCTTTATAAGGGATATTTTGTTTAGGATATATTTGAATCATGATATGCTGTTATTTATGTAATGTATGTTCATGCTCTCCAATTCATATAGTATGACTCATACTTACGTGCATATTTTCGTCGCATGTGAACTCGACTTATGATATAATATAAAATTTATGTAAATTTGACATGACTATATTTATCGTTTATATTAAATAAAATTTAATAATATATTATATTTAATAAGATTTAATAATATATTTAATAATCAAGTATATTAAATAAAATTTACTGCAAATTGTTTCGAATTTTTGATAAATTAATTTCTACTTACATCACATAATAATTACAAATGATATGATGAATAGATAACTAAGCTACTACGTGTAGAACCGTTGGATGATTAGGACATCGATTAAATTCCCTTTCAACACGACCAGATTCCCCCTTGGAACATCAAACAGGGTAATAGAGCCACTCCGATCGAATCTCAAAGTAATAGAGCGAATTGAGATCCTCTTATGACGAGAATCACACCGACGCTATATGAAAATCCTTCGAGTGCAGGCATTCACGAATCGGCACTTGTAAGCTAATGAATAATGCATGCATTTGACACATAGTGCGTGTGCTGCATGTAAGGCGAAATTCATCGAAGTTGAACCGTACATCGCAACCCAATTATATGTATTTTATGTTTCACGCGAACTTCGAACTGAGTTTCCCTCCCAATTAATTAAGGAAGTTATTATTTAATTAAATTGCGTTTTGTAATTATGTTAATTTCGTACTTTTATAATAGCATAAGTTGCCTCAATTCATTAACTAATTTAATTAACTAGATTAAAAAAATTAATATTTTACTATTTAATTAGATTATAGAGGAGCAAACAAATTGGTATCATAAAAAATGATACAGAAATTATAAAATAAGACTGCGTTAATAGTAGGATCAATTTTGTTTCCAGTGGCAACAGGGGATTAATGGAATTTACGAGGCTGGATATGCGATATCGTTGGTAGCGTTGCTGCTCTCATTAGGTATTCTCACGTATTTCCGGTGAGTCTATACACATACATTCAAATCAAATCCCTATTCTTCCCGCTTTCCACAAAAAACGCTCCAATTCCGGGATTATAATGTTTTGTACCAATGAAAAAGAAGATAAATTGTTCAAGGAGATTAAACAAAATCTGATGAATTATTTTGCACAAAGTCTCGAAGCAAAGACCGTGAGTTTTGAAATAATAACTTTTAAGGGATATAACAGTTATTAAAGTATTTAAGGAAAAATTGATAGAAAAATTATAGTATAATTATTGAAATAATAATTGTAATAATTAAAAATAAAGTTGAATATGTAACAATAGGAAAGCAAATTGGCATCGAGACAAAGCAAACCGTGTTTGTAACAGCTTTGTTTTCTAAAACTTGAAGCAAAAAAGATTTTTTTTTTTTTAACGAACTATTTCTATTTTTTATTTTTTATTTTCCTCGGTCTCCTGAATTCAGATCCCTGAGATGCGCGAGAATCACTCTTCACATGAACCTGTTCGCATCGTTCGCTGTAAATAACGCCCTGTGGCTGGTGTGGTACAGATGCATCGTCGCCAGCACGGATTTGCTATTGAACAATGGGGTACGTATGTACGTACGTACGTACGTAGTACCTCATTCTCACTTGACTCTTTGCTTAGCTCTCGACCCAGTAACTCACTGAGAATTCACTCTCGGGCCAGTGCATACCGTTTGGGTAATTAAAGGGACGCTGGTTCGAAATTTTCCCATCGACGATTTGATCACGGTCTGCTGTTCAATTATTCTTTCATCAAGTATATCAAACGTAATGACTTGTAAAATCAAATTATAAGAATAACAGTCAGCTTCTTGCATTTCACATAGTTTTTTCTTTAAACAATGTTTATTATATGATTTCGTACAATAGCAATGATATAATGCAGGTAATAATAAACATAAAAAAAGCATTTTACAATTATTATACTAAGAGTGATAATAGCTAATTTGGCATTACGCAAGGTGCTCTCAAGAGCTAACGAATTATAGTTACGTAAAAGTAATAGATTTAATATTAATATATTAATCCACCAGAAGTAGAGATGAGAAAAGATGCATACGTGCATCAAACAGTAATGCTTTAATACCTGCCACTTATTGCTGATTACAAATTTTCTCATGGATGGTTTGATTAGGACCTGCTAGTTGTTCAATTATCCTTTCATTAAGTATGACAAATACAATAGTTTATCAGATCAAGTATGCTTATTATAAATTGAGTTGTGATTATTGAAGTTGATTATGTCCACTTGAGGAGATTGAAATATTCTGTGGTGTACGAATGAAAGAAACAGAGAGCTCATTGTATTTCAAATAATATATTCCTTATTTCAAGTTCTAAATTTTCCTAAAGATGGTTTGATTAGACCTCCTAATTGTTCAATTATCCTTTCATTAAGTGTAAGAAACATAAAATTTTCAGATCGAGTCTGTCTTATCATTATATTCATAGACAATTATGTGCACTCGAAAAAGTTATAATATTCTTTGAAGTAAATCGTTCTGGCGTACGAAAGAAACAAAGAAGTCCATACGTTTCAGATACCGTGTCGCTTGTTGCACATCGTCCTGCACTATTTCCTGCTGACTAATTACGCCTGGATGTTGTGTGAAGGATTTTACCTGCACACGTTGCTCGTTAGCGCTTTCACCAGCGAGCATAAATTAGTAAAGTGGTTGATGGGTCTCGGCTGGCCAGTACCAGCGATCATCGTCATGATTTACGCTTGTTTAAGGGCCACCAGCGATGATCCTACAGATACTGAGCAGTAAGTACAGAACTAATCATCGGATTCTCGTCTAATCAGAAGCGTTCAATATAATAAATTTAAAGAAATCATGATACAGTAAAAGAGCAGAGCAACTTTTTTTTGGGAGAATGTTTTTCGCTTTCTTTACATGAAAAAAATTATTTTGGCTGAACTGAGGATTATTCATTAACCCCTTGAAGAACAATTTATTTTCAGTCAGCACTTGAAAAAGAAGAAAGTTTATGACGAGCTGGACTCGTCATTTCCGTTCAAGGGGTTAATAAATAATAAAACCTGTTCCAAAAAAATTCCCAGAAGATGCATTTTTTTTTTACCTCACGAGTGACCGTAACCCCTTAAGTGAATTAGTTTAAAAAATGATTCAGTTCTAAAAGGTCTCGGCTCAGTTTTGCTCTTATTTTACCTCTTACGGAGAACCATTAATTGTACATTTTATGCACAATTAGCAAACGCTTGCGAACGAGCGCGAAGTCTGATCGAGGAGAGATCGTAATTTCGGAATGCGTTTGACACTTTATGAAAGGAGCACATATGCGCCGAAGGATCAATTGAGTTAACGTCGATTGCTCGAGGCTGCCTCCGAAATCCGTAATGAACAAAGAGAACAGCGCCGGTGCAGATTAATAGGCAGCACAGTATCCATAATACGAGCCGGACCCCTCGAATCGAGCAACGACCTACTTTGCTCCCGGGGATGTCGACTAATAGCTCGGAAAATATGAGAGAGATCTCTCGCTCCGTGACGAACAGACGGCGGTTTCAAGTTCGCGAATTTTTACGAGGAACATCGATGAGTCGGAAGGCAAAACGAACTTTCTCCCTGCCAGGAAATGAAACCATACCGTTTAACTAATTAAAAATTATATTACAATTCGATCCCAGGACTGCGTGTAATGAACCTATTAGACTGCTCGCGACGACGACATGCTGCAAATTTTTGTTTCAAAATCGTGACGCGATAACTTTGTTACGAAGTACTTGTTGTTTAATTCATGAACGTTTCTTCTCGATCGACGCGTTTAATTAAAAGTTTCGGAATTATAGCAGCTGTTGCGCGGAGAACTTTCGTTACGTGTAATAAAAGGTGTTTGTTTCATGAAACTTGCGTCGATTATGTTCTCAGATGTTGGATCAACGAGGGAAACTACATGATCGTGCTGATATACCCGGTCTGCGTGTCCACCCTATTGAACCTACTTTTTCTCTTCAACATCGTCCGAGTCCTGTTGATGAAATTGAGAGCCGGTCCAACGATCGGCACGCAGCCGTCGAGGTCCATGCGTCAAGCATTTCGGTAATTTTTATGACAGAGAGTTGAAGCGTGAACGTATGAAAATCATTGAGTCATATAAAATAACTGGAACGCGAACAGCTGTCAAAAACTGTAAGGTAGAAGAGTAGTGTACAGCTAGTAACAATGATATTGAGCCAGCTATGTGCATGTGTTAGTTTCCCCTAGGGGACAAAATACAAAACGAGTAATAAATTAACGTCTTATTGATCATCAATGTGACGATTAAAAAATTTGCAATCCTGATGGGATGTACATGATTTATGTTCTCTCAAGTGCAACGTTACTTCTTGTACCTCTTTTGGGACTACATTACCTCGTCACCCCGTTCAGACCACCGAAGGATCACCCTTGGGAACAATTCTACGAGGTTCTATCTGCAATAACAGCTTCTTTTCAGGTACGAACGATTTCCTGCAATTGATATTAAAGCGACTTTTTCCACCACTGGTTGGAGCGAACTAACTTTTTATCGAACTGAAGTTATCAATCAAAATAATTTCTTTCGCAGGGACTGTGCGTAGCTATTTTATTCTGTTTTTGCAACGGCGAGGTGAGTACGCAAAATCAATATTATTCGTTTGAGACATATTCGAGATAAAAGGGAAACTTGATGACTTATGTTGATTTTTAATAGTCCCGTCAAATCTAATAACTGTTGAAATTCTAATACTTAGTCGTCGTTTCTATCTAACGGCTCGTACAACCTCAATTATACTGTGTGTCTCGTTCTCGATGATAATCTGCAATATTATCATCTTCGAACGAGACGCTTCATATAATTCTGAAACTTCGCTAAGTTTGATCACATAATTATACTGTGCGTCTAATATTGTAGACTATCGTCTCCGAACGAGACATTTCATATAATTCTGATCATAAATAAGGTTGAGAATGATAAATGTGTTAATTAATGAACATTGCTCTCTTGTCCAGGTAATAGCGCAGTTCAAGAGGAAGTGGGAGGGCACGGCTCTTATGCGAAATCGAGCCAATTCTTGCACGGCCACTACCGTCTCGGTACGGCAAATTCACAAGGCATAGAGCAGTTATACCGTTGCCGTAGAAATGAAAAATATGTAACTGCAATGCCCGCGCGTGTTTTCATGTTTCATCCACATCCCATTTCTCCGTTCTCGCCGTTAGACCAGGGCTGCAGATTTTTTAATTGCACCATTAACAATTAACGACTTTTCTTAACTTTACTCGATGGTTGGATTTTTTAATTAATAATTGAAACTCAATCATTAACTCGAATTTCTTCTAATTTAGGTAATTAAATAATTTTAATTCTTGATTAGTCAAATTTGAAGTCAAGATTAAATGTTAATTGCTAATTGTTGTTCAACTGAATTAAATATTTAATTTGCAGCCCTGCGTTAGACTTCGGATTTAATAGAATTCGTTTTATTTAAATGTACGTACTTGGAAAAATTTGTGCCTAAGAATCCGTAGTCTGATCGTTCATTCCGTTGACTGTGTATGTTTTTTCAGTATACAGACTCCAGC